CGTCGTATTGGTGCAAAGACCAGGAAATTTAAGTGTTCATGTTATCACGTATTCATGTGGGAATCCGACCGTCTTGCTAAACCATCTTCCTATCTAAACATAAAAAGGCCCAGGAAAGTTAGCCTGTTGTACTGCGTACTTTTCATTGTAAATTTAATCTTCAGATGCAGACTAGTCATAGCAATAAGTGGATCTTCGGCCTCTTCGTTGGCATTACCGTATGCAGTATTGTAGAGGTGAGGGGGAGACGTTGACGGCATCGACCGAGTCGGATGTACAAGTTACCTCCACATGGGGAACGCCTTCGATACCGAAGAGCACAATGGGTTCTGGTAGCATGTTTGAACTCTCCTCGGACTTAATACGGATGAAATGGGCGCCAAAAATCTAGACTCGCATTTCGAAATGGCTATTCAAAGTTCATCTGCGTTCACGGTGTCGACTGCTTTTGTCAGATCCATGAAATAAATGCAGAGTCTTGCTTTCCATGGTACTCACATAATTCGCAGAGTATTTCTGGAAGGAATTCCTGCTCCGTATGCGCGTTTAGACAATTGATTAGGACTTGGAGTGAGAACATTTTGCTTTAAGTGTTGGAAATGACAGTCTTCGAGGTTTTCGTACTTTGAATCCCACTTCTCGTGACTGGGAAGCAAGCCTTTCGACCATCTAGGTACTACCATCCTTGCAAGCTTATTCTAAGACTGCAACGATCTCCGATGTTACTTGCCGAACAGTTGATGCAACGACTCCACCGTTTCTTGAAGACTAGGTGGGCGACTGAGTTTGGCATTCGCGTCTTCTTGAAAAAGTTGGCTGAAGGCTGCTTCTCAGACTATGAATGGATGACCTAGCAGGACCTTGAAGTGATGCTTTCACCTTTTCAGGATCGGCGAATTGTTCGACAGCATCATTGCGCTGACACTGAGTGGTGGTGCAGTATCGTGGCTTGAGTTCAAAGGTGGTTATGCTAACTGCGAAAAAATTCTTTGTCGTACTGCGGTCGGCACATCCTCAATTTTCTTTGGCTTTATCAATCAGTCAACTGTTCCTTATTTCCTCAAACGCTTGTTGATGGTTTCGACATATGAAACATACTGCCTAATTGTTGTTGTTTTTGCTCTGAGTGTAGATTGTTGAGACAATTCCGATACTCTCGGCGTGTGCGACTGAAGACTTACTGACCAGTGGTATGAATGATATTCCGCAGTTCCCTCCACTGGGTCTCACCGGTAACACTATCTTCCAATCCGAAATCTTTTCAACTACTGAAATTCAAATGACGTTTAAATCTACCCCATGGTGCGAGATTTGACCTGTCTTTTGTTTGCCTACCTTGATAATATCGGTGGAAGTTGATTAAAAGCCTCATTTTGGGACTGAAAAAGTGATGGTCCATCCAATATCTCGTATTTAACATTATATCGGCCATTGACATATCGTGCGGGTCACGCAGTTGCCAGCAACGCAAGTAGCGATGCGTTCGCGTTGCCTTTTACAGGATCATATGATGTAAGAAAATGTTATCGAGAAAACGATTGTGTTCTGTCGCAGTCTATTGGAAAAGTTTATTTTTGCAGAGGCTACCGGTCCCGAAGCGACCCAGCGCTCCCGCAGAGTTTGCGTGATCTGTGCCTATGCAGACAATGAATCACCAGGGAAAGCCGGCTTGACCAACCTCGTCACAACCGTTAGAAGCGTGTGCAGGTCTTCGAATAATTATCCTGCACATCATCGGGCTGGTTGTTTGGGCGAAGGAAAAAAACAGAAACGCAGGCTCTGATGACGACAATGGACATGTTTCTCTGGGGAGACTGGGAACAGTGACACAAGACGGTCAGGGACACCTTGTGGTAGGCAGAGCATCCGACTTATAACGCAGTACTTGATGGCGAAGTCGACTTCGGTATCTCCTCTCTTTTTCTCTGGACGTCCCTTCAGACGGCGTTATAGTCAGCATCCACTTCTTCCAGCTGTCTCTGTTTTGAAAAGTGAGTCTCATTGATGGACGCGATGTTCACCTTGTAGGGCGTCAGTTGAGGCGCGGCCAGAGTTGTCCTAGCATCAAATCGATCATCGATCGGATTGCCTAGATGAGAACGGACTCGCTGCTCTGCTAAATTGAGCAGGGTCACTCTGGTAGACTGCGAAGAAACGGGAGATGGAGACGATGGTTTGTGGTAGGTGAGTGCTCACCGATCGTGTTACGAGACTCACTCGTCCCGTTGTGCCTTGAGGTTCTACGTCGAGTCCGGTCAGCAGCCGCATAGCGGCGCGTATGACGGGCTGGCGACGGCGAATAAGCCACAAATGGCCATTCTAGTCCCCCTTGTCTTCGTGGGTAACGTTATACGTGGTTTCTGTTAGCGCAGTGCCTTTTCCACGATTTTGTGTCCACTGGTCATGGTCAGATGGCCGACGGTGTTTAAGGCACCTTTTCCAGCCGCTCACCCCGATAATCGGTAGACTGTGGGTCGCCGACTATGGCTGCTGAGTCATCCAGGCGGCTGTCAGGACTTTGTTACGATGGGGGAACTGCGCGAACCCGCCTGAACCGTCTACGGCGTTATTGGTCTTCCTCTCCGTAGGGAAACGATAGGGAGAATTGCAGTAAGTACCGGATGCGGAAGTACACGCACGCCACACACACACCCTCATATGGTTTAGTTTAGCCGCAAAGAAAGGTTGCCTGGGTGTGACCCCCGTACTGAGTACGACGTCGTAGAGACAGATAATGGTCGGGTGCCAGGGAAGGACGAAGCAGAGGTATTCACCATGTTTATCAGTGCGTTTGGTTGCGATAGCCGGTGGGTTGCATGCAAGTACTTGCCACGACCGCGGTCGTTCCTGATCTAACCGACCGAGACAGTGTCATTTACATTACCTCTTCATGCCTGACAGTTCACGACAGCGTAAATGAAGCGAGGAACTTTTGTTCATGTATTGACTTTTCACGGCTCTCCAATAGCATCGGCAAGCTTGGAAGTGACTGTACAGCTGCGACAGGTGTCTTGCCTACGACACTCCCCACATCTCATCTTTCCTTTTGTTACCGTAGCATCTTGGTGTTTGACAGACCACAACGACGACGATCCTTAGGTCAGGCTCAGTGGAGTTTATTAACGCCAGTACGGAGATTGTTGTATTCTGCGGAGAATGAATGGGGGTAATCGGTTCTTTGGCGCAGGTTAGCAACCAAACGCGAGATGAGTCTCTTGACTCACGGGGACGGCATACCCGAGATGGCGCATTCCCGTCAGCCTTTGAGTTTATTGGGCAGTCAGGACGGTTGTTATTGATATTGTAGCACACGAGCCTAGCGATGCTGATGGTCGGGCAGACGAGGTGATAGCAATAATGCATCTAATTTATTGGTGACTTCCGGCGTTAGCGCAAACTTTATTTCCTCTCTCTGTCCTCCTGAATGACACATAACATCTATTTGTGAATTTTTTGTTTCATCTACGCCTGCGCTTTTGCGGGCTTTCTCGATGTTTTGTGCCATCTATACAAGAGGTGGGCTAACTCATGAAATGTCAATCGAAAGTCCGAAATGAGTTTTCGTTTCGAAAATATTAATTAAGTAGGGTTGTAAAACTTATCATGATGCAGCGTAATTCTATTATCATTCAGTTACCTCAGGATGCCGGCTTTCGAAAAAACTTCTTTCCGGTAGCATGCAAAAACTGACTCCGTAAAAAGTTACTACTTACTTAGCATATATTTTTCTCATTGATTTTCGATGCCCTTAAAAATTCAGTAATATTTCATGGAAAGCATGCAAAAAAATATTTATTCTCTTACTCATTTGGTGGAAAATTGCATTTCTTTTTAATTTTATATTACAAGGAAGGGCATAACTCGGTTTTAAAAAAGTTTCTAAGTAGGGATTTTTTTAATACCGTGAAATGGCCGTTCATAAAACGCCATGTCTCTGCATTTACTAACGGGGCTTGTGAAGTTAATAGTATGGTTGAAATCCACTGCTAAATTTTATGAACCCCATATACTCCTCCCCTGATACTGTAAAGAAATATATGGTTTTCCGTACGTGGAAAATATACGGCTTGTAGTTCGGAAACCCTGAATCCAAGTGTAACGGCAGGTCGGATTCAAAATTACACGGGGATTGGTTAAGTTTTCGAAAACCGAATTATATCGTTTTTTCGAGTATGAACTTGGAAAAAGGCGTAATTTCTACTTAATGAGCAAGAGAATGAATATTTTTATGCATGTTTTCCATGAAATGTGACTGCATTTTCGAAGGCATTGAAAATCAATGAGAAAAATGCAACTCCGTAAGTAGTCATTTTTTGCAGAGTGCACGTTTTGGATGCGGCCGGAAAGAAGTTCGTTCGAAAGCCGGCATCCTGAGGTAACTGAATTATTATAAAATTATACTGCACGATAATTAGTTTTAAAACCCTGCTTAATTAGTCTCCTCGAAACGAAACCGTATTTAGGAATTTCGGTTGATATTTCATGAGTTAGCCCACCCATTGTATCTTGCTCATTGTGCCTTACTCCAACCAACAACTTGATGTCCCCGCCCAGTTCCTTTATGCCGTCAAATTTACCTTGCCCGAGTACTAGCAACATGCTCCAGGACTTCATCTCATCAGCACCAAATCGGCCTTTTATTCTGAGCACGTTACCAAGGAGTTGGCGAAATGCCACAAACTTGTGCAGGTTCTCCCTGCTAGCGTTTTCTTCCAAGTCCAGTTCATCCCCCTGCGGATGCTCCTTGCTCCACGCGAAAGGCGGAAATCCTTCTACTCAATGCTGTATCTGACCGACAGCGCTATCACCATTTGATCAAGACGGAAACATTGGGGGACAGGAAGCCGTCAGAACTCCTTCTTCGAATGCATTCAGTCCTTTGATAAATCCAGATTGACGAAGAGCTCACAAAGGAGATGGTTCTAGGGCGTTTACCTGCAGATGTTCAGATAGTTTTGGCGTCTGGTTCTCAAGATCTCACGACATCACAGCTGGCCACAATGGTGGACGGGATGACACAGATGAAGCGGTCTCAGCCACCCAGCGTTGCCCTGATCTCTACATCCTCGTCGTCGTCAGTGAGTGAACAGTTGGTGAAGCAGATGTCGGCCACGGCGGATGAGATTGCCCCTTGGAATAACAGGTTGCACGCCTTGCCTGCAGTCACTCACCCAGCCCTCATCGTTCTCGCTCGCGACATCAAACCACCGCAACCCGTTGATATCATAACAATTTCGGCCCAAAGGTTCGTCGGTGTTCCTCTCCCGCTCTCGTTTCTTCAACATCCTCCCACTCCAGCCGACCATCGCTTCGCCCAGTCCTGATCTCCACTTCCAGGCCACCAACTGTTCCTCTATTCCCACTTTTGGCAGCGGCTCCCTTACCCTAAACACTGACGTTCATCAGTCTTTCCCTTGGATCTTTGTGCTTGCCGATGTTCTTCATGAAATCTTCGGCTCGGACTTTCTAGTAGACCTCGATCTCCTCGTGGATTACCGACTTTATTTGCCCCTCGGACCACACGCGTAGTCTCTCTGTTCATGTTTCAGCTTCCTTCGCTACTTCCTACAACCGGTCTTTTTTGGATGCACATACTGTTAGTCCTTTCCGGGAACAGCTCTTTGAACACCCAACATAACTACTCACCAGTCTTTCAATGGTGAGGTTTGACATGACGTTGTGCACCAAATCCGCACCTCAGGCACTCCCGTGTTCACTCGGTCTAAACGAATGGCACCGGCCCGTTTTCAGGCCCCGAATGCGAATCTTGAACACACGCTGCAACTGAGAATTACTCGACCGTCCGATCGCCTCTAGGCGACCTTGCATGTGGTGCCTAAGGCAAGATCAGGCGAATGGAGACCCCGTGGCGACTTTCCTGCGCATAAAAATGCCACCATTCCCGATCGGTACCCCGTGCCTCGTCTGCATTTCTTTGCTGGAACCCTTTTGTAGTCAAACGGTCTTCTCGAAGACTGACCTGGTGTTTCCCTTTGTCGGATTCCTGTAGTCCCTAGGGATATCCATAAAACCGCCGTCACTACACCTTCCATGCTTTTCGGTCTTTGCAATGCCGCCCAAACGATCCCAAGGTTCATTGGTCATGTCTTACGCAACCTATCTTCCGTGCACACCTATACTGATGGTCCCTTGGTAGCCAGCCGGAATGCTGAAGAACGCGAAAAGCACCTTGGCTTGGTGTCGGACCGCTTCGAAAAGTATAACGTCGTCATCAACCCCCAAAGAGTGTTTCTGGTGTTCCTTCCATCAAGGTTTGCGTCCCTTCTCATCCAAGATCGAAGTCATTTGTGATTTTCCTTTACCAACGTCCAAGCGTCAGCTACAACGTTTACTCGGCATGGTCAACTTTTACTGTCGGTTCCTATCAAAGCGTACAGACCTTATGCTGCTGCTCACTGACATGCTTTCTGGCCCGAAGGGTCCCCTTGAACCTATCGGTGGCTCGCCGGGTGCCTTGGTGAACCAAGGCCTTTCTTGCTCACGCCTCCTTGCTAACACATCCTTATTCCGAAGCTTCACTGTCCCTCACGGTTAACGCATCAGCTGTTGCCGCAGTAGCAGTCCTACACCAACATCTAACGGACTCCACACGACCGTTGGCTTTCTCCTCTAAGAAGATGTCGCCTCCTAAGACAAGATATAGTACCTTTGGCCGTGAACTTCTTGCCATTCACCTGGCTGTGAAACATTTCCGAGACTTTCTTGAAGGTTGTGACTTCACAATTTTCACGGATCATAAGCCATTTACATTTTCTATAAGAGCGCATTTGGATAAATACAATTCGAGAGAGAGCGCTCAGTTGGACCGCATTTCCCAATTACCCGCCGACATCCACCCTATTGATGACAGGAAGAATGCTTTCCAGAACTTCCCTCTCGGTATTTTATCTCTCCCAGGGGATCGATCTTGGTGCCTTGGCGGTTGAGCAGTAGCGAATCCGTTATTGGTCTTCAACTTGTAAACGTTCCTTTGACCACCGGTACCGGCACAATCCTATGTGAGGTCTCGACCCCTTTTTACCACCCTTTTTTGCCGGCCTCGATGCGTCGGGCTGTCTTCCAACTCCTTCATGGACTCTCGCATCTTCAGATTCAAGCCTCAACAAAGCTGCTCGCGGAAACGTTTTCCTGACCTGGCATGACCAAGGACGTCAAAGCTTGGGTGCGTTTGTTCCCCACCAGGCACATTCCCAGCCCAGACACATGGTCCGGCCATGTGCCTCAGGGCGTCGCAGGCCCCTTGCTTCCGTTCAATTGCCATACTCACCTTCTTACCCGAGTTGATCGGTACACTCGCTGGACTGAAGCCATTCCTTTGCTGAACGTGCAGGCTGAAGCCATTGTCGGGGCCTTCACCAGTCGTTGGGTCGCCATTTTCGGTACCCCATCGACGGTTATGACTGATCGTGGTGCCCATTTTGAGTCTGCCTACTTCCGAATGCTCCTCAGGTTTCTTGGCTGCACGCGCATTCGGACGACGCCTTACTACTCAACTGCCTGCGGTATGGTTGAGCGTTTCCACCGCCAGCTAATGATCGCTCTGCTTGCCGCAGAAGACCCAGGAAACTGGTCAGACAAACTTTCCCTTGCACTCTTCGGCATTCGCGCGACAGTGAAGTCGGATTTGGACTGCAGCGCAGCTGAATTGATTCCCGGCATTATCCTCCGGCTGCCAGGCGAGTTGGTCGCCCCAACCTCTCATGGTGCCGACGAGACCCCTGACAATTTTGTGTAACGTCTGTGACAATTTCTTCCCCGGTTCCATCTCGAACTCCAACGACTGAGTCTTATGTCGAAAACGTCTTGGACAACTGCACTCATGTGTTAGTCCGGTGTGACCGTGTGCGCAAGTCGCTAGAATCACCATACAAAGGATCGACCCGGTTAAGGCTGCTGTTGCGGAGGAGCCGCCGAACCTGCCACGAGCACAGACGTTTGCTGACGCCCTACATCCTGTTTCTCCGCCTCCACTATTCCCTGCTCCTCCACCTTCCCTACCCCCTTTTACTTCCCCTCCCCACCCACTATCCCATCGTCAGGCATACTTCCTCTCCCTGCATGTACGCAGCATCCAACCACAACCTCATGCTCCACCGCAGCACGCACTCAATCCCCTCCATCTGTACCGCTAGTGGACATCACGTTCATTGACCTGGCTGTTTAGTTGCGCATTTCATCTGGATTTATGCATATCCTCCGGCGTCGTTTTACGTTGTCCTCCGGCTGCTGAGGGGAATACTGTGTCGAGATAACAGACTAATTGAGCTTTGACAATCTTGTCACTTTTCATTTACTGTATTGCTTGTTTTAACGTGACGCACGCAATGCTGCATGTCAACCTCTGCAACGCTTGCGTGCTCCATTGTCAGGTCGTTGAACACTTTTAACAATAAATTTACTCATGGATGTTTTGGCAGGTTATGAATAGTTCATACTGACCCACCTGTGAAAAACTCGTGAATTACGTGAGAATGGTAGTCATCTGGTGAATTATAAGTGGATTACTGAGGTGATCCTGCTTGGGCAGTCAACTTACTGTATCAGATTTGGTGAATTCCAGACGTTTCAATAGGTTGGGCGGATAACTTGACCCAAATGTGATTAAGCTCGCGTCGTCCGGCGGGGCCTCGTAGCTCAGGTGGTTGGAGCGTTGGCTGTACTAAAACCTTCTCTTACTGTCGTGCGTTGGAATACAGCCGAGGCGCTGAGTTCTTTTACACTTGGGTCAATATGAATAACTTTACTGTCGCTTTTTAATTACCTCAGCAATTAAGTACGAACTTGCAGTAGACCAGTTTATTCAAGGTCGTTAGGCTCAGACCGAGAATGTTTATGTATGAATATTTGGGCCAAAGTCCATCAGTCACAGCGGGTAACCGCGTACTATTCATTAACTGCCGACAGGCAGCTAGTAGTGTACTTTAGGGCCAACTATTCATACATAAGCATTCTCGGTCTGAGCCTAACTACCTTGAATAAACTGATCTACTCCAAGCTCGTGGTTAATGTCTGAGGAAATTAAAAAGCAACAATTTCTAGATTGGGATATTTACCAGAAAACACACGGGGAATTCTGGGGGACCCACTGACGAGCCGAACCCCTCACACTTGTGCCATGCAGCGGCAGAATATCGACGAAATACGCGCGTATGGGCTTTTGGCTAATACCTGTGCTGTTAGTATGGTATCACCTTATCCTAAAATAACTTTACTCACCTACCGGTCTTCTTACCTAGGGTTCTTAAGATATCCTTCGTTAATTCGTAAAAACTATTGCATTTACGCTAGCGTCGCACAGAGCCTCACAGTGCCGGACGCAATGTAATGGTAGGAGCTGTGGGTATGAGTCCTTGTAATGTTACAGACCGCTTTCATCACATGAAAAACAAAAAGGATTAAGCAAAGTCAATTACGTTTTGCACTGTCTCTATTTTAGACGTTATAAGGCCTCGTGTTGTGCAGCGGATGCATTTCTTAGATAAGTATGCTTGAAGACCTTCATGAAAGAGAATAGGGACAGTCAGTATAGATTGAGTAAACGAGAGTGATTTCGGCGGATTCCTATACGAATGCCTATTGTCTTTTCCTCTATCAAATATAGTGACCTACTGAGGACACCACTAATAATTCTGTTCTGGATACTTGTTTCACTTTACTGTACACCTAATCGCGACGAGAACCGGATTATAAGTAGTAGATTTCCTTATTTGTTTAATCAGGGAATCCAATATTTTCTAATTTATCTTGTCGTACGTTGTTGCTTCTCGTTAAGGGAATAATAAGAAGGATATTTTATTGAAATTCCAAGCACTTTCTACCCCTCATCAGCTTTTACATTTGAAGCTCGATAACATTTGCCAGTTATGCGCCCGACTTATGTAGATAGCACTTCATTCCCTCTCCTTCAGTGATATGCCATTTTTTACGGGCGTTCTCGTTTCGGGATCCTCTTTCAGGTTCAAGTATCATCGTCAGCACTTCTGATTTGCGCCGATGATAGTAGTTTTTCCAAGCACTCGGAGGGCATGCTGCCTTTCCCCCGCTGTGTTTAAAGGTCATAGATACTAGCAGCAGGAATAACGGCTTCAACAGAACCAAGCATGTTATGTTTTGTGACGGTTAAAATGGTGATAAAATCGCCTCAGCTACTATACGCTGGTTGTCGCAGTTGCATGCACGCTGAGCAGTGCTGATGCATTTGATATTCACCTCGGAGTAGTCAGTGCGAAATCTTCAGCCTTGCGAATTTCAAAGCATCCAGAAAGTGGAGGTCTTAATAAAGGGGGTTTTTGAACAAGTGGCTCTATTGTCACTAACCGGAAGCAACTATCAGTTTCCTTATGTGATTAGTGGACTTACTAGTCGGAAATACTCATTGCACGTCCGTTCCAGATCATGCCACCGTACGCCAAAACAGGTTAGTTTGAGCAATTACACTAAGCCTGGTTGAAAGTGAATGATAAGTGGCTATTTTAAGCCAATGATTTGTCAGCACGTGAAAAACAACTTCTTCACTGCTCGGAAATCTGTAAACGTTTGCTGCAGTGATTGCTGGAGACCTTCCGGGCTGGGTAGAGCTTAATCGCCTGTGAATAAATGCCCTTCTTATTATGAAATATATAACTTTTAATGAAAATTGATATGCCCCTTGAGACTTGCGAGGATTTGAATGCATGGAGCTAGCCAGATATCCGTATCTGACATCGTCTCTGATGATGGGTTCAAGCGGGAAATCAGGACGTCAGGTGGATAAAGCTTTTGCTCCGGGGATCGCATTTACGTCTTCCCAACTAATTCCTAGTACTCGTATTCTCTCTTGTATTGGCAATGTGCACGTTGTTATGAGTGTCGTGCGAGAAACCCAATGACCCACTTTACGTAGAATGGGTTTTACTGAAAAATAATAGCTGCAAATTGTCCCTGAAATAAATAACCAGAAAAATGTAGGCATTTGAGCAATATAAAAACAACGTTTTCAGTAGTCTGACCGCTCTGAAGTTTTAAAACGAACGCCTTTCGAGGTCAGTAGAATTCCCAAAACCACAATGACACAAGGAATGCTGAATGATGTCAAAATAGTGTGGTTAACCAACCAGAGATTATACAGTGTTAGGCAAAAGCATAGAGGCTGTGTGAGTCTGTTAAAAACCGTTGAAACGCTCAGTAAAACTAGGATAAGTGCGTTTATTCTTCCACGTAACCGCAACACAAGAGTTATCTCTCAGAACGCGGTATGTCCAAACTCCGGGTCAAAAGACTCATCAGAAATCATGCTCATAGGTTACTTCGTTATAGACATCTCCATAAACAATTGACTGGGAGGCTAAGGGCTTAATACACAGTGAGTGACTGATCTCGTGATCTGTTGGCTGAAAGTCTGAAGTGCGTTTTCGATTGGGAAGGTTTATTTTGGCGCGGTTGTAGTACTGATTATCTTGCAACATAATCCTATAGTATTTCGGGCCTGGCAGGATGTTAGCTTATGAATTAATTGCCTTTTGATCCCCTGTAGGAACCAAGCTCGGTAAAAGGGACAAGTTATTTAGCATGCATTTTTCCTATTTATTTTCGATGGTCTTGCAAATTCAAATATATTTCATAGAAACTACGAATAAAACTATGTTTTCTTTCAGTCGTTTGATAGGGAATCACGTCATCTTTGGGTTTTATTCCCGACGGAGGTATGTAATTAGGTTTTAAAAAGTTTTTAATTATGAGAATATTTAAGACCGTGTAATGTCTGTTCATGCAGCATAGTGCCTGCACGTTTATCACTGTTCCTCATGAAATGAACAACATGAACCTCATCCGTTGCAAAATTTTATGGAATCTATATAGTATCTTTTTAAAGTCATGGGAGAATATGCGATTTTATTAACGGGCAACGCATGCATCTTGTAGACTGTAATCACTTATCACTAATGCAACGACTGATCAGGCTCCGAATTAATCGGGAATAAGAAAAATTTTAAAACCTTATTCTACTCCTCTTTCGAGTAAAAAATAGAAAGATGCCATAACTGTCTATCAAACGACTGAAAGAAAACATAGTTTTATTCGTAGTTTCTATAAAATATATTTGAATTTGCAAGGCCATCGAAAATCAATAGGAAAAATGCATGCTAAATAGCTTGTCACTTTTACCAAGCTCAATTCCTACAGGA